AAAAAAAAAAAAAAAAGTGAAGCCGGGCCTTCCCTGCTGGTGCAACGGGTTAAAGCACAGCACTATGAAGCTATTGCAGCCACTGCAGCATGAGTTCGATCCCCAGCCGGGGATGGGGGTGGGGTGGGTGGGTGTGTGACCCACATGGTGCAGCGGACCTCTCCTGACCCGCCCGCTGCTCCCCTCCACTCAGACTGACTTCATCATTTGGCCTTTTCTTCTCTCCACTCTGTCACTGGTGAATCCTCTCACCGCCCCTGCACCTCTAGCCTGTACCCCAGTTCTGTATGGATCAAGAAATAAATCTTTAAAAATAAAGTGAAGTCACCAAGTTAGACAGTCCATAGTCCTGGTTTGCAGAGTGTCCCCGACACACACACACCCCCCTAGATGTCTGTGTATACACACGCATGTGCACAACGGTGTGCCTGAGGTCAAGAGAATGATTCCCAGTGGGGCCTTGTATGTGGGTCCCTCCGCTGGGCCCCAGCGGTTACACTGTGAGGGAAGAGCGGCACCCTAAAACTTCAGCTGATGCCTTGGCGTCCACACACCAAGGACACTGGCCTGGGCTCTGCACTTGAAGCCGCAGGCTGTGCCCCGATGGGCTCCCTGCAGGCAGTGGGGTCGCGGCTGGCAGTGGGAGTCAGCGGCAGGGACATTCAGTAGTGCTTCCTGCAGAGGGCAAGGAAAAGTGGGTGACTAGGCGCTGGTGTGAGGCGTCCCAGCAAGGACAGAGGGTGGGGTAGGGGTGTACCCTGAGGCAGACATCTCTACTCCTGCAGCTCCCCAGCTCTTGACCCAAGCTGTTGTTTTAAATGACAAGGGGAGCAATTGGGGTTAGACCTAAGGAAGACATTAGCACAGAAGATTTTGAAAAAGGTTAAGTAGATACCCAGGGGAGTAATAGTTGCAGGGTCTGTGACAGGGCCCCCATTTTTCCATCCCCAAAACAGAAGCCATCAGGATCGGTGCCTTATTTTTTTATTTCGTAGGGTGGGTGCTTTAGATTCCACCTGTCTGGCAAGGAAGATGGGGACCCTGCCTGGAGGTAAACCAGGGGCACACTGGTAGCACACCTTGGAGTTGGGAGCTGAGGCCACTTTCTCTGGCTAGTGCCTGGCAGGGAGGCAGGGGCTGGCATGGGAGCAGCGCTGTGCTCCCATCCGGGACATCCAGCCAGTGCCCACACACACTGGTGACCTGCGGGGCAGCACAGCTGGTTGTGGGCTTGGCCAGAGCACTAGAGGGGAACTGGGCGCTGCCAGGGGCTCCTCAGAAGTCAGGTTCCCAGGAGGAGCAGGGCCTGGGAAAGGAGCAGGTAGGGCCGAGCACCCAGACCACCCAGACCACCCAGACCGGTGGACCCAGGTGAGGGCAAGGTCAAGGTCGTGCTGGGGGCCAGCGTGGCTGGGGGGTGCAGCACCATCTTACTAACTTCCCAAGTGCTTCTCCAGGAAGCAGGATCCACAGTGTAACGGGGACACAGCTCCCTTCTTTTTTTTTAAAGATTTATTTATTTATTCATATAGAACTGGGGTACAGGCCAGAGATGCGGAGGGTGAGAGGCTTCACCAGAGACAGAGGGGAGCAGAACAGGCAGATCTACGAAGTACACTGCTGAGGGGAGCGGCAGGCGGGTCAGGAGAGGTCTGCCACACCATGTGGTCACCTCCGGGGCAGGTGGGGGATTGAACTCATGCGGAAGTGGCTTAAGCTTCTTAGTGCTGTGCTTTAACCGGCTGCGCCACCAGGGAGAGCCCACAGCTCCCTTCTTAACGAGGGTCGGTTGGTGACCGAGGCCTCACAAACATCACATGCTGAGACTGTCCATGCAAATGGGCATCCAGTGGCCCAAGAAAGCCCACCAAATGCATGAAACCAAACGCCTACTGCACCGCTGCCCACAAAGTCCAGCTAGCGAGCTCCCTGCTCTCCTATTAACACCTTGGAGTCATCTCTGACTGTCCCCTCTCTCAGCCCTCTTCTGAATTTCAGTCAGAAATTCTATGAGCTTTGCCTTCAGCATATAGCCAAGGTCCAGTCACTTCCACAGCCGCCAGCCTGGGCTGACCCGCCTCTTTTGCGGGATTACCGCAGCTGTCTCTAGCTGGTCTCCCGGCGCCCGCCCTGGCGTTCCTGTTCATGCTCTTCCCCCATGGTAGCAGAATGGTCTTCTTCAATCCCAACCTGTGTCACTCCAAATCCTCTTTGGCTCTACAACTTGGAGTGAAATCCAAGGCCCCTGGTGGCTCCCAACCCCCACCCGATTCCTACTACTTTCCCTTCTTCATTGACATCTGCCAACCGGCTCCCCACCATTCTCTGGGCGCACCAGCCCCTATTTCAGGCCTTGGCACAGGCTGCTCCCTCTGCTCAGATTCCTCGTCCCTGGTGGGGCTCATGGTCTCCCTCCTGCCGGTCTCTGTTGAACGTCATTCTCTTCGTGAGGATCATCTTCCCAGAAGGCCATATTCGCTGTTGCAGCTTCTCTCAAACCCACTCTCTCTCTTAAAACCCCTCACAGTCTTGCTCCGACTCGTGAATATTCCTGTCAAGTTCGGCCATCCCCACCGAAGGGCAGATGTCTGTCCAGATGCCCTGGGCCTACTGCAGTGCCTGGCTCACAGTGTGCGGACAGGGTGAATGAGTAAGTAAGGTTGTTAACATTTACGTGACTGCTCTGTGCCAGACGCCTCACCACGCACGCTGTGGCCTCTTGTTCAGACACTGCAGGACCCTGTGTGTCAGCTGCTATCACCCCCACTTCACATGGCCGCTGTCTCAGGCCTAGAGAGGTGGCAGAGTCGGCACCACTCCAAGGGCCAGCTTGCATGAGGGGGGCTGGGCATAGACTCTTCATTCTAGCGAGACTTACTTGTCCCGGGTTGTCTGGGACTTTCCAGGTTTTAAACTGAAGCCCAGGTCTCCAGGAATCTCCCCCAGTTCCAGACAGACAAGGGTGGGTAGTCGCCCCCTGACACTCCTCCCCTCAGGGAGGAGTTTTTCTCTAAGCCTCTAAGCAAATCAGGGCCAACCCCAGTGTTCCCAGCTGGGAGGAACAAGAGCTCCCTCTCCTCTGTCCTCAGGGGTGGACATACCCCTGAAGCCTACCAGGCCTATCAGGGTCCCACCTATGAATTTTATGCTCATTAAAAGGCTCTTTATGGACTTTTTTGGACCCAGGCAAATGGAACATGACAAGTTATAGAAAATAAAAATGGTCAGACCTTGCTCTTCCTAAATGCCCTCAAAGTCACACGCTGATTTCGTTTTGACCGTTTTCTCTGTCTGCCTGCTCCACCTTAAGGCCCCCTGAGCTCTCATAATAACTACCTTAAAAAGCCAAGCGGGCCCCAGCTCCCAGCATGCCTGAGAAGGGAGGGGGCCACTGCTCCCCAGCAGCCTTGGGAATCCTCCCTGACTTGTGACAGGGCCAGCCAAGCCATGTGGGGCCCTGTGCTCAGCCAACCCAGGTTTGGGGCTTTCGGTTCCAATTCTTCCTGCCCTGAGGAGTTCCAGGGCCTGATCTCAGCAGATGTAACGTCACACCAATGCTTGTCCAGCCCAGGAGAGGGTTTTTGTTCCTGATCTCTGCAGTTGCTTC